GCAACCTTGGGTCCATGACCTAGAAAAAGTCAGAGCCAACAGTAACAATTCAGCAAGAATGAACTTGCAATTGTATCGCATCAATCAGTTGCGATTGCGACAAAATCTCGAGAAAGCAGCCTTGGCGATTGAAGACGACAGATCCATCTATCACTACAAAATAGTTCTAGAAGCCTTGCAAAAACAGTGTGATAAAGTTGAAGAAGGCCACTTCAGTATCCTAGAACATAGTTATTTTCAGGATGACGTGTTTGAAAACCTGAAATTGAACTATGATAGCATAATTGAACGATTTTAAGAAAAGTTACAACATCAAACTCATCACAAACCATCAGTGAAACTACCAAAAATAGTCGTTCCAATGTTCACGGGAAGTTATGAATCGTGGAGCTCGTTCTATGACTTATTTTTAAAAATCATTCATGAAGATAAGAGTCAGATATATCCTTCACAGACGTGGAAATTCAAACTTAAACCGATATCCATCGTAGTTTGGAAGTGATAAAAGTAACTGTGCTATCTATTTGCCGTCGTGAAGTCACACTACATACAACAGACACAGCATTGAAATTTATGCTGAATAAACTTGACCAGCAAAACACATCAGTGAGCTCATGTCTCGCTGTAAACTTACGAAAGACGAATAAAAGAAAGACGACTATTAATAGCTGGAGTATTAAACTACCTCCATGATTCCGAAAGTTTCTACAGTGCTTCAGATGACGATACATATCCGAAACCCACAAGTGAAGAAATATGTGATATTATTGTAAGCCTGTTAAAACGCCTAAAATATAAACAACACCATACTAGCAGTCTCAACGTCACAGAAAGAGAGAGTGAAGCAACGACAGCTGCTTTATCTTCAGATGAAGCTACAGCTAGTCTAGCTACAACGAGTGAGTTGACCCTGCAGCAAGAATTTGAGAAGGAAATGGAAAAATGCAAAAAAAGAAGGCAGTGCTTCCGTCCGACGAATTTGATCTTTTGGGATTTTTAATGACTGAAAAGGCAATATACGACAATAGAGGTGAACGAGAAGTTTATTTGACACAGGCGTACACACTTATCTCACATATATTGTTAAATTAAATAAAATAACAATTGCATCGTTGACCAATTATTTAAAAGTCAAACTAACACTAAATGTCCCACCCAACCCATATCTTTGAAATGTCAAGTAATATAATTTTGAAACAGCTATTCATGCAAAACTCATGGTTGTTTATAACAAAAGCTAGTAGCACTATAACCATAGTCTGTGATAGTAAGTGAGAAGAAACAATTATTCAAGATGTAGGAGTAATAAATCGCAGACAACTGTACCATAAAATCCATTTACAACAGACTCGCTGCTAAGAGAACGTTATCAATGAAGGATAGTTACGTGTACGAAAACAGGAGCACATTGACTTAGACCAGTGTTTTTCAATCTTTTGATTTCGCGACCCCTTTTTAGGTTGAAATATTCTGGCGACTCCCTTGTGTTATAGAAAGTCAAAAAAATAATTTAATTAAAAGACTACTATCCATATATGGATAGTAGTCTTTTAATAATAAAATTAATCTTTTAATAATAAATAAAATTAAAAGACTACTATCCATATATGGATAGTAGTCTTTTAATAATAAAATTAATCTTTTAATAATAAATAAAATTAAAAGACTACTATCCATATATGGATAGTAGTCTTTTAATTAAATTATTTTTTTAAATACCGTAATTATCCTGCTAACCTTTACAACAGACTGTTTTTACTTAAAAAATATAGTTTTTTTTTAACATCGAATAACGGACAGCTTGGTGTGGGATAGGAGCTATAGAACCCTAGCGACACGGTGGGAGGCTTTACCCAAGATAATTTCGCCCTTTGTTTCCCTTGAACTTAAACCGACTTTACAGACACCCATTTTTTTTTTGTTTAATTCAGGTAAGAATCCACAATGCCCTTCAAATATAAAAAAAGGAACAACTAGAAACAGAAGTAATTTAGATCTGTCAGTAATAAGAAATGCTTTAAGTGACATTAATAATAACAATTTTATTACAGCTTCTGCTTTGGAATATGGAATAGATCGAAATACTTTACGAAATTACGATAAGAAGGTCCATCAGGCCCTTAAACATTTCTTTACTCCTTTTCTCCATCTCAGAACGGTTGCGCTTTCTCTGTGGAATACGAAACCAACACTCATAGCTCCAAAAACATTTTAAATATAATTTCCAGAAAGCTCATTGTAGTATTATTATTACCCTACACAAACTGTACCTGACCACGTTGCACATAAGCTACCTACGATCTTAGATTAAACAAAATTACATCCGACATCAAAAAGGGAAAAAATGGTTCATCGAGAAAACATTCCGAAAAATATGAAAATAAAAAACTTGGCTCTAAAGAGCCAACCACAAGGGTGAATATACAAAAATTGGGTAACTCAATGTCATCAGTCAATATATGCAAAGTCTTATTATATTTTATTGAGATTACAATTTATTTTAAAACAATGAAAGGTCCTTTATTTGGTCACCCAATCACAGCTCTTCATTTTAAATACAAGTTAATAAAAAACCACATTAAATGCTTAAAACGTCAGTCCTTTGGCATGTCACAATCCCGAAAACCAACAATCAAGTGACTATCTATTAAACATTATCATTGATTTGAGAAAACTTACTAATCTACTACAATCTGTGATTTACATAGTAATATATACTACAACTTTCACAATGCAATGTTCTCCACATTATTTAAAAAAAATTAAGAAACTTTGTGTTTGTTTTATTCGTCAGTCCGCTGTGCGTTGTTTAAAATTGAAATTCGCGCCAAATTATTACCGACTCAAAGTCAAATCGCTGTTTGAATTTTAATGTTGGTAATGAAGTTAGTTGCGGATTACACAATTTGATGGCCGCCATAACTGTACCAGTGCTTGGGTTGTATTTGTCGTCTATACACGTGCTGAGCCAGTCAAAATTTCAGTCCTGTGGTGAGTCGTTATTTTCTAGTTAATCTCAGGTTTATTTTCATTTATACAAAGTTAACTATGATTTGTTAAAATGTAGTTTGTTGATGCTCGAAATTACCAAAAAAAACATTAGTTCTGATTATAACCTCAAAATTATGCCTTTTTCATCAGTCCGTTGGCGTCAGTCCTTTGTCAGTCATCGCGCCAGAGGACTGACGTGTTTCCATGGTACTGATGTTTTTTTTTAATTTTGGAGCACTTTTATCTTAATTGCTACCGTGTATAAGCATTTCTATTTTATATTTCAGTTCATAAACATGCGGCACGCTAAAAGCAAATTGACTAGGGAAGAAATACTAAAAAAAAGAGAGAAGCCGAAAAGGCTCGCTTAGCCAGAATTAAAAGCGACCCCATTAAATTAGCGGAATACAAAGAAAAACAAAAGCTTCAGTACTTAAAGAAAAAAGTGAAAGGACAAAGAAAAAATGTTGAAGAAATGACACCACGAGAGCAACGAATAACTAGAAAAAAATGGAAAAATTATTCATCAAACTACAGGCAAAGAAAACGGCAATTGAAACAAACCACTAATAATTTTATACGCCAGAATAGTCCTCCACTAACTGACGACGAAATACAACCCATAATTAATGAAGAAATCAGACCTGTTATGAACGAAGACCAAAGAGCAAAAGAAGCTAAAAAGAGAAGTGAAAGACAGAGAAAATCTAGAAACAAGGAAATAAAAAAGATGAAGGCTATAGTTTCAAAGCTTAAAACTAAACTAAATACTCAGCGTCAAAAGTATAAACGAGTCAAAAAGCAGCTAAAAAAAGTAATAAAATCTGTTGAAAAAACGCCAAAGACCAGAATTGAAGACATGAGTGAAGATATAACTAAAAAGAAAGAATTAGTGAAGAAGGCCCTTTTTGGGGAAGTTATTAAAACACAATTGGAAGAAAACTACACTAAACTAAAGACTCATGAAGAAAGAAAGAAATTTAAACAAGTTATATCTGGAAATTTAGTAGACAAATACAAACTATGGAGAATAAAAAACAAAGCAGTCACCTACAAAAAAACTGGACATAATCTGACAAATAAAAAAATAAATAAAAGCAAAACTATAATACAAGGATTAGTGCAGAAATTTTTCGAAGATGATTCTAACAGCCGTCAAGCTGCAGGAAAGAAAGAATTTGTATCTCGTAAACAAGTCAAAAAACAGAAGAGATATTTACTTGATACAATGAAAAACCTTCATAAGAAATTTTTAAAAACCACTCCATGTGTATGTAATCAGCTATTCCCTATTTACCCGACTTCGACCATTTTGGGTGGTACCCCTACATTGTCAAACCGTGAAACTTGTAGTTGCACGATTCACGAAAACATGAACCTTCAACTTGCTGCTCTAAAGAAGGCAAATATAACAACAGTGAGTAATCATCAAAATATGTTGGAACTGCTTTGTTGTGATCGATATTCTGAAAGATGTCTAGAGAGAACATGTGATAACTGTTGCTCAAAAACTCTGACTTATACTGAATTCGATAACTCAAAACCAATATTAATAAAACAGTGGGTGAGTAAGAAAGAGTCAATAACAGATTTGAAAACGAAGAAACAACGATTTGTGATGAAATGTAAAACAGAAACACAGGAAATGTCACCTAGAAATGCCATTACAAAACTAGAAAATGATATGGTTAAATTTTTCCGGCATTCTTTTAACATATTACATCAGTACAATGCCATTAAGCAATTGAAAGAGTCTTTATCTGAAACCGATGTCATTGTACATATGGATTTTTCCGAAAATTTTTGTACTAAATACAACCAAGAAATTCAATCCTTCCATTTCGGCGGTTCGAGAACCCAAATTTCATTACATACTTTTGTCGTTTATCTAAAAAACTCCGTTATTTCACACTGCACTATCTCGACTAATTTGTCTCACAACGCTGGAGCAATTTGGGCTCATCTAAAACCTGTGCTGGCATCACTACCATCAAATATTGAAAACATTCACTTTCTCAGCGACGGTCCTGTAACGCAATACAGGAACAAATCTATGTTTTATGTATTAGGCTGTAAACTGCAAGACATTCTCCCTAATATTATAAATTATACCTGGAACTTTCATGAAGCTGGACATGGGAATGTGGCACCCGATGGTGTAGGGGCCACTTGTAAACGAACAGCAGACCAAGTGATTGCTACAGGAGGAGATATAACTAACCTGAATGAGTTCGCTACTGTCATTCGTGAAAGATGCCCAGGTATAAAAATTGATGTGATCGAAGAGTGTCAAATTGAGAAGATGAACACCATCATTAATGATAAGTCGTCCGAAATGGTCGCTTTTAAGGGAACACTATTGGTGCATCAGGTGACTGGCACAGCTTATATTCCCAACAATCTTACAATGAAGTCACTAAGTTGTTTTTGTCATACCGATGGATGTAATCATTACAAGTTAGGATCTATTAGTTATCAGACAGAAATAAGTGCTATAAATAGTACACGTATAAATACTTCTACCGTATTCTCAGACTCTGAAGATGATGTACAGTGGTACATCATCATCAGGTACAGCGATCATCATTGTCTTTAACATATGTAGATAGTGATCTACATATGTTAAAGACAATGATGATCGCTCTAAATTGGATAGAGATCTATCGGCACCAGGAACTAGCGGTTATTCGCACCATCAAAGTCGTTATAATAGTGGTGATTATGTTTTGGTCAAATATATCACAAAGAAAACAGAATATCATTATGCAGCGGTCTGCTCTTCGGTTGATGATGAAGACGGTGAAGTAAGAGTAACTTTTCTTAAAATTTGTGACCAGAACGGCACTCTGTTTAAATTGGATGAAAGAGATGTGTCAGATGTTCCCATGGATCAAGTAATAAAAAAACTACCCGTACCAAACCTCATTACTAAAGGGAAGAGAGTTTATTACCAATTTCAGGAAAAAATTGATGTTTTCGAAAAATAATTTCTTATTTTTGCACTATTTTGATCCTTTATTTTTCGTTTTTTTTTTTGTGGAGAAAAAGATCTCATATTATTTTAATTATTACTAACTTTTTTGATGCTTTTAAGGCATAGCCTATTATATTTACTTGATTTATTAGAAAATACGTACTTTTAAGTAAAATTACCTCAAAATAATATTAAAGTTAAGTAATATAACATTATAAAAATCTCAAAAGGCTGTTATGAAGACTGGTATAGTTGACTTTCATAGTATTATATTGTTATTGTTCTTAATTTCATGATAATAGTACTTTTAAGATAAATATTGTTAGATTTTTGTTTCTATTGATTGTTGATTACTTAGAAATGTTAAGTAAAACTAAGTCAAAGTAGTAAAAGTTAAGTGAATAACGTTATGTTAAATGTCAAAAGGCTGTTTTGAAAACTAAGATAGTATTTTCTCTCAGTATTGCATATTAATAATTATTTTTAATTGTTACTAAGTGATTTTAATACTTAAAAGACATGTGCCATTATTAAATCTTAAGAGATTTGTACCAATTTTTATTAAATTTGATTATAATTCTTACAAAATGGTGTATTTTGTCAGTACTATGTTACCCTCGTCAGTCCCCTGGCAGTCAAATTCTGAAAATTTGAAATATCTCACAATCTACTTAAAAAAGTGACTGGCCCGATGTGGAACAATATATTCATTAGATTAGCCATCTTATACACCCGAATTTGTAGAAATTTGATTTAATAACTATAGTAAACAAAATATCCTCAAGAGTTACCCAACTTTTGTATAATCACCCACAACTATGCGGTAATAAGCCAAGCCTTGTCGCCAAAAATACATTTGCCGACTGCTGAGGTGTCTAAATGCATCAACTACATTCAAACAGCACCGACTAAAAGTCATCCAAACAAAGAGTGTCATATACAAACTGTCTTTCTCAAACCCACATCCCGAGCCCCTCTTTCTTCTAGCTCCGATAAGAAGGCCCATCAGACCCTTAAACATGATTACTCCTTTTCTCCATCTCAGAACGGTTGAGCTTTCTCTGTAGAATACGAAACCAACACTCATAGCTCCAAAAACATTTTAAGTATATTTTTCCAGAATGCTCATGGCAGTGTTATCCAACCCTGATCAAACTGTACCTGACCACGTTGCACATAGACTAGCCACAATCTTTGATTATAAAAATTTTAAAGCTACCACCGCTGAAAGAAAATGAAATTCACTTTTTAAGTGAATATGTGGACTGTTCAAAGCCGTTAGCAGAAGCTATTCAAAGCCTGTAAGGGGACAAAGACACTTATTATGGCTGTTTGTTACCGGAATTATACAGAATCCAACATGTTATCAAAAGCCTCGGAATAGAAAATTTAATGGATATTAGGCCGCAGAAAATCCTCAACATCATTTCTATCTTTCTCCGTGTTTCTTGTTTTGCGCTTTCTCCGTGGAATTCGAAACCAACACTCATAGCACCAAAAACATTCTAAATATAATTTCCATAATGCTCATGGCAGTGTTATTCAACCCTGATCAAACTGTACTTGACCACGTTGCACATAGAGTAGTTACTGGTACTATTGTACCTGTTATAATAATTAATATATAAACATAAGACACATTACTAACTAGAACATTTTCCAGAATATTCGAAAGTACCGCAGTGCCGAAATTTGGAACAAGCGAGTGTCCTTTTATTTGGAAAACCACAGAGACAAAAACGAAAATCATTCAGATTGCTTTCTATGAGCAAATCCAAATTAGAAAAAAAAATAAAAGAAAACATCCAGATTTTCTCTGGATGTGGAAAAGTGATTTGGGCATACTAGCCAGAATCACTGAATATTGATTCACATTCACCTTCTTAGATGAATCGGTAATAAAACCTCTCCCAATGGTACAGAATGCACTACCAGAACCCACCCAGACTGTAATAAATAAATTAATATCCCAAAAAACTTTCCCTCCCTCAGGAAAACCTGACAAATTATACCATGAATTTCGAGTCCCAGAGTAGAAAAGACCCAGACTCCCCAACCGTCTCTCACTATCACTCACAAATCAATTAAAATAAGAAGACAGAATAAGAACAAACCTTCTCTAATTGGCCAAAACATCTGGCAATGCAGGTGTAGTGCTTCAATTGTTGTTACTTTCAGTATTCACATCTTGCTTCAGAAACTTAACTACTGGTGTACCTAACCCATGTATGATTTTTTTCATATTTAATTTCTTGGAAGTATCATATACATTTGTTTTTTTATTTACTTTATTAACTCAAATTGTTTAACTATGTACGGAATGTAATGTCAGACATGCCCTGTATTCCAAAACTAGGTAATTGCACTATCATGGCCAAGTAGGCTTTTAATGATTGGAAATTGAGGACTGGGCATTGATGCATTACCAGGGCTCTCTTTGCACCCCTTTTAGAGGCCACATACAATGACCTCTCAAAAGAAGTTATCTGCAATGGTTTTAGAAAATGTGGACTGTATCCTTTCCATGCCAATGCAATCAGCCAGCTTTCATTGGTCCTGAACACTTGTTGTATTTTGAATCATTGGTGTCTTCCTCCCGTGTTCGAGAATTCCGTGCAAACCAAGATACTGCATGGACTGGAGACGAATCAGCGAAGGAGTTGTTTTATGTGTGGCAAAAAATAGGTAAGAGAGTAAAACAAACGGCTGTTGATGAAGAGTCTAACTTGGAAACCGGTCTACAGACAATGCAAGAAAATATACACGATTTGGAAGAAAATGTTACACCACATGAAATTGAGGAAGAAAATTACCAAACACCAGAACAAATGAAAGAGGATTTTATTCGCAACATTGACCATTTGAATACTGGAACGCCATCTCAACCTTAAACTTCAGTCATTAATATCACAAAGCACATTGAGCAAGAATCTCCTTCTACAATAAAACACCTTCAACCAATAAGCCGACACAATTGCTGTTGCAAATGCAGTAGCCCTCTGAATCTCCAATTAAAGGCAACCAGAAAAGGCGTAAAAAAGTCCACCTACCTGATGCAGTAAATAGCAGTGAATGGATGCAATATTGGAATGAGAAAGAAAACATTAAGAAAGGACAATAAGAACAAAAAGCTCTTAAGGAAGCTAATATAAAAATGTCAAAGAAGAATAAGAAAAAGGAAACAAGTTCAGATGAAGAAATACCAGCAGCTCCGAGAAAGATGAGACGACTTCGAATTGATTCAGCTTCAGACTCTGATGATGATAATGTAAGGTAGGTATGGCATTTAACGCCCAATGTGTAATAACGCCCGAATGCTAAAAATCGGATACGACGCGCCGTCGATCACGCCACGAATATTCTCAGTAGCGAGCCACGAACCAAGAACGACGACAGTGCACGCTGTTATTATAAAATACACTCGGACAAATTTGTAAGTTTTACTTCATTTTTCTACCTATTTGTTGTTAATTTTGTGATCAGTTTTTATTTTAGATACCTTTATTTCATATTTCACTGAAGATTTAATTGATCTGTTTGTAATTATGTGTGAAAATATGAAAATAGTAGACGGTACTATTCGGGTAAAAACGCCCAGTAAAATGAGGTTTGGGCGTTATTATCCATATTGTGGGCGTATTTATACATGGCCAAAATTTGTGTGTCATATTCATCTGCTTTTTACAGATCGGGAAAATGGCTCCATCTAATCCCACACGTAAGAAAAGAGGGGAGTCATGGTCTGAAGAAACAATGAAAGCTGCCATTAATGCCGTGCAAAGAGGACATTTGACTCAGCGATCAGCAGCAGAAAGATATAATATTCCGCGAAGAACTTTGAGAGATCACTTAAAAACTGGTGAAGAAATTAAACGTTTGGGGAGAAAGCCTATTTTGACGATGAATCAAGAAAGAGATTTAGCTTCTCGGATAAAAAGATTTGCAAGCATTGGGATTCCACTAACTCCTAAATTCATTAGAAAACAAGCTTTCTTATTTTGCGAGAGGCATGACATCAAAAATAATTTCAATAGTTCCAAAAGAATTGCTGGTGTAGACTGGTTGAGACAATTTTTAAAAAGAAATCCATCCATTAGTAAACGTAAGCCGCAAATGATGAATCCAGCGCGTGCACAAAAATTAAATAAACCTATTGTTGAACAACATTTTCAAAGTATCCGTAAATTGTATGACGAGTTAGATATACTGCGACACCCAGAAAGGTTATATAACATGGACGAGAAAGGATGTCGAATAACTGTGCATAAACAGCATACAGTTTTGGCAGCAAAAGGGAGCAAAAGAGTTCACCTCATTGCTCCGGAGCATGCAGAGAACGTGACGATAGCGATGTGTGTGAATGCTATAGGTACGGCGATTCCAGCTATGATAATTTTTAAAGGGCAAAGAAACAGACCAGATCTAACAGAAAATCTACCAGCTGGAACATTAGTTAGAATGGCACAGAAGGGAAGTATGACTTCAGATTTATTTGTGGAATTTATTCAGCACCTGGCAAAACATAAAGTCGCTGATAAATGTTTATTAATTTTTGATGGAGCAAAGTGCCATCTATCAGTCGAGGCGCTAGATGAAGCTGATAAAAATGATATAGTTCTCTACTGCCTCCCGTCAAATACAACTCACGAATTGCAACCGTTGGACAAATCGGTAAATAAATCCTTTGAACATCACTGGGATGAAGCTGTCTTGAATTTTTTGTCAGTCAACGTTAATAGGACATTGAACAAAGCCGATTTTAATAAAATATTTTCTCAAGTGTGGCCCAAATGCATGACACATACTAATATAGTGAATGGGTTCAAAGCTACAGGTCTTTACCCCTATAATCCTGAAGCAATCCCTGAAGAAGCATTTGCTCCATCAGTTTTATCTGAAATTCCATGTCCTCAAAATCAAAATAAACAAGTGGAGAAACCTGATGCTAATACTGATACTGACTCTGATGAAAATCAGCCTAATTTCCATGTAAACCCATCGAACATACGGGTCTCGACTCCTGATGATTTTGATGTTGATTCTGGCAACGACCTAAATGTGATGCCTAGAAGAGAGATTTCTTCTGAACAGTATCAAAATATGCAGAATTATCTACCGTCTACTTCAGAATTAAGGGAAACAAACATTCCACGTATTGTTGATTATAGCTCATCTACTGATTTTTCTGAAACTGAATTGGAACAAGCTCCTCATAATTCTACACTGCATGATTCAGACCATAGCTTATGTGCTTCACCATCCATAATTTCTGAAAATGTATGTGTGGTTCCTGAAACGCCTACAAATAAAGAAAGCTATAATGACATTGATATGGCAGTTCCGAGTTGTTCAGGTCTGCAAAGACCTATACGCCGAAATTACAGCTCTGATTCATCTGACATAGATGATTTCATAAACAAGCTATCACATAATAACTTTAAATATTCAGTTGAAGACGTCTATGGTTATTCATCAACAGATGAAGAAAATGAAAATTTAGGTATTATAAATAAAGGAGAGACAACGCCTAAAAAGCAAATAAAAGAAGCAAAACCTAATGATGATGAGTACTGTTTTTCAGATGAAGATGATGTACCGTTGTTAAATTTGAAGAAACCAAATAACAAAACAGAATTTGAAAAATTTTTACCTACTCCTAATTACGCTGTAACTAAAACAAACCGTCCACGAAAGAAAGCTATCAATTATAAAGGTCAACGTATTACTAAAGACCTCTTTAACAAAAAAGATGAACGTAAAAAGAAAACAAAGAAAACCAAAACCAAAAAAAATGAGAAGAACAAGAAGGATAAGATTAAAAATAGAGTAATAAAAACAAAAAAGAAGACACAAAATAAAAAGAGAATTAATGAAAAAGAAGACGATACAGAAGAATGGTATTGCTATGCATGCCATGAAAATACGAAATTGGACATGAGACAATGTAAATTGTGCATGAAGTGGTACCATGAGGAGTGTGTGGGCCTCTCGAAAGATGATGAAGACTTCATTTGTTCAAGTTGTGAATAAATATAAAAAGTTTTAAATTCCAGTACATTGTAAGACTGATTACCGGTAGCACTGTAAGACTGATTATTGATAGTCACTCAGAGTAGTTCTTAGGATATTTTAATTCTGATGTTTTATTATTTGATTACTGATCTCATTAATGTTTAAGTTTTGTACTTTATTTCAGGGCGTTATTTGAAGCGCTGTACTGGGGCGTCATTAGCCATCTACGTTTAATAGCGCCCAATAAGCATTTCATGATAATTAATATTTTTATGAAAACTCCCATAAATGTTGATTTTCTATAGTTTTAAAACATGTTAGAAGTAAGATATTTTTGTTAAAGATGATTACGTAGAAAATACAAGAAGTGTTAGACGAGTTACTAAATTTAAATATTGGCGTATTTGTAATTCAATTATGACTATTGTGGTGCTTTATAAAAAAAGTCAATATAATTTACTTTTTGGTTTTATACGGCTCTAAGTCGAAATTTTAATGTTTATTGAGATAATTCGTTAAATAATATTTGGGCATTACTAAAAACTGTATGTTCAATATCGCCCATGACAGGGTATTCAAGAATTCTTTGTTTGCATAATTTTATACGACTTATAGCACTTGAGTGTTAGTTTTCTATGTTTATTTCTTCACAATAAAACTATTTCTCTAAACGGTTTTTTAATTAAATTGTTTCATTAAATATTATATTGATTTGAAATTAAGCGGGCTTTAATTGCCTACGATACCTTACCTTTAATTGTACATAAATCTTTGGAGGTCACGGCAAAACCAAAGAAAGGTGATTACGTGATCGTCTTGTACCTCTTAACACAGGCAAATCTTGCTTAACAGGAATACCTAACAAGATCACCCCATTTATTTACAAATTGCAATGATAAAAGCTTTTATTACAAACAACTAAATTACAATTTATTTACAAATTGCAATAATAAAAGCTTTTATCATTTCATTCCATTACAAGAGCCAGCATAACTTTGTTACATTGACTAAGATGATTTGTGTTACCCTTAAACCTACAAACTAAAACTCAATCCCAAACCTTATTCTTGAGGTTTTTCACCATCCCAGTTGACAATATCCTTATTAAACCACATGTATTGGCCTCGAACGGAGTCCGGAGCATCCAGGGCCAGGTAGAGAGGTGCGATGGCTCCCTCATCGATACTGAGTGGTCCCTTATATGAAGACATGTCCGTTGCCACATAGCCAGGATGCACAGAGTTCACTTTTATATCTGATAAAAAGAAAAGTTGTTCAAATACACACCTTAATTACACTTGCATAAGATAGATTTTTATACCCTTCATTTTTGTGACATAGATAAGTGTGATAGACCTTATCTTTAATTTTATTCATTTTATAATCTTGTTATTCATATAGTTACTTATAAGATAAGCAAGACAGTTTCATTTTTATCTGTTACCAAGCCATTTTAAAACTGTCTTGTCATCATGTGTTCACATTTTTTAGATTTCAATATTAGACATCTTCAAATAAATTGATTATTGGCCCATACTTAGGTAGATACTTTAGGTTACTACTTATACTGCTTACTTACCTCTATCACTCAACATTCTCTGTTGAATATTAGTCAGTGCCGTGACGCCAACTTTAGAGACAACATAAGTAGACTTTCCCCACTCCTCAGCATGCGTGCCCTTCTCAGTAGCGTCTATAAATTGCTGCATCAGCTTTGAAAGCTCTTCAACGGTTAACTTTTCGTCCTTGAAACGTTCTCGAAGTGCTTTACTGGGAATATGACTCAAATGTGCCGCTGAACTGGAAATGTTGATGACTCTCGCACCATTCTTCAGTAACGGGAACAGAATATCACACGTGGACACCAGGGAAAAGTAGTTTACGAACAATGTTTCCTTAGCTTGCACGGCTACTGGTTCAGGAGCGCTACCTTTGAACGCTATAGCTGCGTTGTTCACCAAAATATCAATGCCTTCATACTTATTCTTGAGGTAATCTCTGAATGTTTCAAGGCTCTGCTTTTCCGTTACATCCAGTTGATGAAATTTAGGATGTAAACCTTCCTTCTCAAGATCGGCGACCGCTTTTTTACCGCGTTCTACATCTCGTGAAGTCAAGTAAACTACGCCATCAAAACGTTTGCAGAGACCGCGGACTATTGCGAAACCGATGCCTTTATTAGATCCAGTTACTATAGCTACTTTTGCCATTTTGCAGAATTATTTGAATCTGCTGAAATTGCACAAAATAAACAAACCAAGTCACGTTGGTCACGCACGTTTTGTTTGAAGTTGTCAATTTTTGAATTTTTGTCTATGGACTTGTAAATAGTCTGGCTTGCTTGACTGGATATAACAGAAATCCACTGAGCAACGCAGCGCAACTGAATGATATTTATACAGACATAGCAATAAGCATGTGTGGTCTTTTTTATCAATACCTAATACCTGATAAGAAGACGTAAGTGGGTACTACTTATACATTTCTTATCTCAACGACTTTAATAAATAAACATTAAATAATTTAACCAAGGTTTCATAAGTACAACAAGGTGCATAAATCCACTTCATAACGCGTTAACCTCGTTATTTTTAACCGACTTCATTCATTATTTTTGATTTACTTTGCCTTTGATTTTCGATCTTTTCACAACATGAATATTCTATGATTCACAATTCACATCACAATACATTTGACAATACTGACATTTGACTTTGACATTATTGAAATTGGTAGGTACAGTGTACACATACATTGGTTCATAAATAATTACGAATTTGTTTCTTCACTTGATGTAAAATGGCTTCAAAAGTAGCTGTCGTAACAGGAGCTAATAAAGGCATTGGATTTGCTATAGTACGTGGCCTTTGCAAGCGTTTTGATGGTGTAGTTTACCTTACTTCACGAAATATTGAGCGCGGTAAAAACGCCGTTGCTGACCTTGAGAAGGAAGGATTAAAACCAAATTATCACCAACTGGATATTACAGACAAGGATAGTTTGGAAGTATTTAGAGACTACATTAAGAACAAATACGGCGGAATTGATGTATTGGTAAATAACGCTGCTATTGCATTTAAACATAATGCTACTGAGCCGGCAGCCGTGCAAGCTAAGGAAACTTTATTCGTTAACTACTTTTCTTTGGTTTCTACATGTGATATCTTATTCCCAATCCTCAAAAATGGTGCTCGAGTTATTAATCTGTCGAGTTCTTGCGGTCAACTAGGTCTAATTCCAAGTAAAGAGTTAAAAGAGCGTCTTAAAGATGAGAAATTAACTGTTCCGGAGTTGTCAGACTTGATGCAACAGTATGTGGATGCCACTCAGCAAGGAACGCAGGCCGCTGCATGGGGGAACTCTTCATATGTGGTATCTAAAGTTGGTGTGTCTGCACTGACTAATATACAACAGAGAATGCTGGAGAGTAGAGGTTTGTAACATTTAAAGTTTTTAATTGAATGTAGCTTACAAACGGAGTTGCCATTACTAAAATGTAGCAATCAGCATCAATTGATTCAAAGCAGTGGATTTTAGAGCCCAAAACTCTACATGAACAGTCCTAAATTGGCCAGCATTTCAACAAATGCCTATCAAGGCATTTAAATAATTTTATTTTATTCACAGAACCTAATCTGTTAATAAAAAAAAACTTTGAACTAGACTCCTTGCTAGTATTGGGAATTTTAAAATTGGAAAAGCTAAATAATACTGCCAATCTCAAGAGTCAAAGCCCCAATCAGACAGCAATGAAATAATTTTAACTCGTCGAGTACCGGTTTTGTAGACACAATTATAGAACAATAGGTTGCGGTCACCGGTGACCGCTTGGTGTTTGACAGTTTAAAATGTATATTTATTTTCAGATATTAAAGTGAACTCGGTGCATCCTGGCTATGTTGATACAGATATGACTTCCCACAAAGGACCGCTTACCATAGACCAGGGTGCTGAAGCTCCATTATACTTAGCTCTGGATGCTCCTGACTCTGTCCGAGGAAAATTTGTCTGGCACACAACAAAGATTGTTGACTGGGACTCTGAGAAACCTTTGTAAATAGTTATAAGGTCTAATTTCGCATGGAACTAACTGTGGAAGCAAAAATTGCAAATGATATGCTTAATATTATAATTCTAAGAGTAGATAATAAACTGATTGTGATATAATGTGCATTAATATGGTCCAAGACCGCATTGCAAATATATAGTTTTTATAATTTTGAAGAGATCAATTTCTTGTTCAATTCTCAATAATCTAAGCTTTTATTATTATTAGTTTATTATTTATGTTGGGGTTGCCAGAAATAAAAAAACATTCAGTAATGGTAGTGTTATAGAATATTCTTTGAAACAGCATCCTACTTTACTAATGGAAAGTTTGGTATTACCCAGTGTTCGGGATTAGCTCCCCAACTTTTTTCTCCTAACCTGGTTACCTTATATGTCTTTGTTTAAGTAATATATCGAAATAAGTATTATGTATGAATACTTGTACATTTCATGTACTAATACAAGTACTTTGTAATACTCTTATCGTTAATATACAAATAAATCAAGCTTTATTTCCTGTTTTATTTCAGATTTAATTTCTTCAAATACTCTACTCAGGCAGTTTTGTAATTTTTTACAGAATGTGTAACGAAAAATGCTAATAATGATTTACCCAATCTGACAATCGAAATAATCTTATAAAGTTGTATAACTCGGAAAAAGTCACATTGGTACTATGTAGTTAGGTTGGTAGGTTTCGAACCCTCACCCTCATGCATGAGAAACTTCTGGACCAGCACAATATTCCGGGTCACCATGAGATTTTAAGGTGAATAAATAAAACCCACTAAACACAATTCTACATTTTTAATTAATAAATAAAAAACACAATAATCCTCTATCATTAAGAGATCACTAAATAACAATTTCATAATTAACAAATAAATTAAAATTAATTTAAATCACTACTCTTAATAGGAACACTATTGTGAAGTTGTCCGGATACTTTTAAATACAACATACTTAAATATTAAAAATACTATTTATATTATTCAGGTCTAATAGTTTAGTCAATGTATGTACCTACTTCAAGTCTTGAACAGCTATATTCTTTGAATCTCTAAAACAAAGTAGTGAATTTTGAACCTAAATGTCGGGTCATAAGCATTAAAATGTCCTGTCGATGTCTTGTCACAGAGTCCAAAATCACGAATCAAGTTATCAGTGTCACTTTACGCAGTAAAGAAAGATTTTATTAATCATTCAAATTTCAACTTATGTCTTTGAAATTAAGAACTAAGCTGTGATTCCAAATATTTAGAGGTAAGGTAAGTCGTCGTGCGAAGTTAGGATCCAGTGTATCATCTATGTTAGGATCACTAGCTTCTGCTGGTTGGGCGATCAGCTGTCCGCCATGCCATTGGTTGTGAGAATTATATCGACCAATGACGGGCGAGAATGCGAAGGAGCTCACTTCGATCTTTCAAATTGGAAGTTACACAATTAATAGCCAAATGTTATTCAAGAATTGCTCATAGTTTCAACACATTTAAAAACTGTCACATACTAATTCAAAGTTGTCCGAATAATTTCGAGCCACGCTGGGGCCCTTAATCATAAGCTGCTGCTCGACTTGTTGCACAGCAATGCTCCCAGCGCCATCTGTCGCATCCGGCACGAACTTCCTTTTTTCAGCGTTGCTGCGGCCCGCTGACACGCCTGGCTCGTTCACCGTGGAGCTCTCGTTGGTGTTAGGTAGGATTATCTACATGCGCCGCTTATGATTAAGAGTCCCGATGTGGTTGGAAAATAATCGGCGGTCGCTCGAACGAATTAGTATACCTGTATGACGACTGAATATTAAATTTTAAGTTGTAGTTATATATCGTGCCATCTCTATCATTTTGGAAAGAATTTGTAGAGACAGAAATATATTAAATACATTTGTATTATAATACAAATAATACAAAAAAATACAAAGTTGTAACTTTCGTGAGACATACTAAATAAATTATTATGTTTTCGGCTTACTCGCGTAATAATTTTACGAGGACTAGTTTCGAGCCATGCTAGAGCTCATATTCATGAGCAGCATTCGCAGTTCGCGCCCTGCGACGCGGCGACTGTGGCTGCTACTGGCTACTGGAGCGTGCCGGCGTGCCGTGGCGCGCACTGTGCTCCCTCGCGGTGTCGGCGACGGCGGCGGGACACTGTTGGCACGCTAGACTCGCCCGCAGCTGCGTTGGTGTTGGGTTCGAATCCCGGGTCGACGCAAAAACAGTGTTACATACGAGTTCTTTGTCAAATAATTACGTGAATAAGTCGAAAACATAATAATTTAGACAGAAATATACTTAAGTGGGAATTAAAGTTGAGTGGCCTCTCATTATTCGAGCGTGAGCCGTATAAAAACTAAAGTCTGTACTCTGACTCATAGTCGTTATATAACTACCCAGTGCATTGTAATAAAGTTAGTCCCCTTCACTACATCTGTCAAGGTCTCTTCTTAAATCTTCCTCATGTGCTATCTGTCTAAACGTCAAAGATAGGTGGTCATTGCAGATAGAAATATGTCGTTTCCAAATACTTGTCTGGAAGTCATCAAGTCGTTATCTTATAAGTTATAGTCATAACAAACAAATGTAAATAAAGATAGCTTTCAAGTATCCAGACAAATCCTAAATAACTAACAAATTGTAAAATAGACTCGTATCATTGAGATGTAAGTTTATTAAGAGATCTAGCATTTAAGAAGCCTAAGTTATTACTTTTTGCCATTCATATTAAATACTAAACTTATTGCTGCATTTTGGCAAAAAATTCTCCCCCTGTACATTGTAACATTGAAAAAGCTATTCAGAATTGAACTCTATTACAATACATTAAAGTCACAAATTTAATATCTTCAAAGATTACTATTTGGGCATATTTTAACAATTTAACTACCAAACTCGAATTTACGACTAAGATTTTAAAGTCAAATTTTCTTTATCAATAACAGCAGCACGACTCTTTTCTCTAGTCTACCCTAGCTTAGTCCTATTAGCTATCGAATTACATATAAGAAAAAAATTTGGTACATGCCGCTACATGTACAAAAGTAATTCGAAATACCATGTAGAACTCAAAAACGAATCTCCTATCTGACTCGGGCATCCATTGCTCCGCTGAACAAATAGCATCAACACTACTCGAATAGGATAGACAAGTCAAAAACCGTTTGACTTAAGTGAATGTCAGTTCCATCATCCATGCATTAAAATTGCAGTGTCCGGCTTTGGTTCAGGCCGTGGTGCGGATCGAGGGAAACTGGGATGCCGTCTCCTCCTTCTGTGAAGCAGTCATGCTAGCTAAGGAGAAGGCGGAGTGCGCGAGGGTTTAAACCTCCCCACGTCCCAACTCCCGTAGGAGTCATGCAAGGATCGCGAGACGATTTCCGGCCACCATAAGCAAGAGTCTGCGGATGGCGAGCAAGAGTAGTTCGTCGCCCGGTTAGGCCAGACCCGACCTGACAGGTGCCAGACCCGGAAGGTTGTCCAAAGATTCGCTTTGGACAACCTTCCGGGTCACCGGGGCTCCGCCCAGCTCGAAACAAAAGTAGGAACGGGGTGGTTTTTAGTCACTAAGTCTGACACTCCCTCTTACCTCACCCAAGGCTGGATAAACCGTTAGATGATTATCCCACCTCAAAAAGCACTATACTGGCAGTACAGTCGACAACATTTAATAGGGGCTACCATTCGTTTTTTTGCTCACCGTATGGAGCTAATGTGAACCTCTCGTCTTTTCGCCTAATAGCGAATTAGCTTGTGTCACACCACGGCATTGGTTATTCAATTTTTGACAGCTACAGTGATTGGACAAACTCTTATGCTAAATTACCACCATCTGGTGTTGGAAAAAATGGTAGCCCCCAATGTAGACTCGGTTGCCAAGCCAACAATATAACTCTTCTGTAGGTACTACTCTATTCGACTAGCATTTACACTATCTATCTACCGGAGTGCCTATTGCGAATTTGGTTCACATAAACGCGATCGAGACGTTATTGCATTTAGTTCTCTGTCCTCTGATTGGTTGGTTAACTTGGAGCAGCCAATCAGGGCGCCGAACGTCATAAACGGGTCGATCGCTTAACGTAAAACAAACCCGCTCAAAGCACTCTCTTTAGCGGGGCTAACAATATCACCTAACTCCCTACTCCCTTCGAATATCAATAAAAGTTTGAAACTGTGGAATTTCAATTTCAACATTCTGTGCCATCTTTGGATCACCATCGTTTTCTTCAAGAAGAAGAGGGTCGGTGTCCTCTTCAGTAGGTAGAATCCCTTTACTGCTGGAAATAGGGGGTGGGGGTTCCCAATTGAGGGTGTTGTGTATATTATTCTGTATAATCTTCTCCTTGTTTAGTTTCCTCTGGGCCTTGATCTCTGCTCGTGTCATGTTCAGGTGCTTCAGCTGGTAGTGCACCTTGACGTAGGGTTGTGTTTTGAAGAGTAAGCCACACTCCTTGCAGGGGTACATCTCGTTGGAATGACTCTTCTTGTGGCGGTTTAGTACTTGCTTGTTCTGTGAAAAGGATTTTTCTGTAAGTACTTGCGGTTAAGACTAATTAGACACGAATTTATGTTTTTAATTTGGTTATTAGCTGTCAGAAGATATTGATTAAGAAACGTTTCTGATACTACACATAGTAGAATTTGGATATACTTTTATGGACTTTATTACAAAACGGCAAAGTTGAATCTGTTTCAGAAATTAGGTTTTAAAGCAGTTTGATGTGGCATCTCAAATCTGAAGGAACTAGAGTGTAGTCATCTTATTTTAGGACGGAACTCTTCAATTTAGTTTTTTGTTAGTGGGACAAGCCCGCCACAACCTCCCCAACCAATTTGGTTCAATTTAGTTTACATAACATCACAATAGAATCAGCTTTCCAAAAATCCTAATATGTCCTATTCTTACCAATTCACCACTGAGTAGCAGGTATCCACCGAAGACCTGATGAAAGCCAGCTAACGAATTCCAGGACCGCGACAACGGAAATCTCCACGGCCCTGGAATTCGATGGGAGGCAATCATACTTCATCATGTAGGATCTTCAATCTTCCTGATCTCCCAATGATGTAGAACTTCAATCTTCCTGATCTCCCAATGATGTAGAACTCTATACTATTGACTTCTAAAATTCGTATTTGGCGACATAGAAGCATGTAAGAAATTATTCTTGAACTTATCACATGGCACTATACAGTTTGATCAGCAAAAGAAAATGGACTTACCGCAAATGCCTTGTCGCAGTGATCACACTGATGGACTCTGGGCGGAGGCTGGGACTCGTGGAACCTGGCTTTATGGCTGCGGAGCAACGAGGGGCTTCTGAAGATCCTACCGCAAGGACAGGCATGTCCTCCACGGATCTCGGCTGGCATGTGAGACCACATTATGTGCGCACGAACCTCGCCCTTCGTCAGGTAGAGACGTTGACAGTGGTCGCATTGGTATCTGCGCAAGAATTGCTGATGAAACATACAAGAGCTAGTAATAGAAGAGCGGAAGTATTTTTATCGGATAGGAGGCAAATGAACATTAACAACATCAGTAGAGCAACAAGCCATACTTTTAATAAGCTATACACTCTTGTTGTAATTCGACGACGAACTCGACTAGTTTCAAGCTATGCTAGAGGCTCATATTCATAAGCAGCATTTCGCGACACGCGACGCGGCGACTGTCGCGCTGCTACTTGAAATATTGAAGGTTGTTTTGGAGACTAGTAACAAAAATTGAGGAGAGGTATCATCATTTCTGTCTACGGCTGTGCATAGATCTCTCCTCGAATGTAGGTGGACTCTCCTCGAATGTAATTGACCGAGTGGTCGCAAGTGCGACTGCCGGGCAAGGGTTTCGATTCCCGGGTCGGGCAAAACATTACTGGGTTCTTAAAAAAAATTCTCAGTAGTAGCACGGAGTCTGGAAATGTGGGCGTATATGCCAATAGGCTCACCCCCCATGATATGGGACTCGTACCATAGAATAGCGAAAAGTGGGTATTACCTTGTACAGTGGCATCACGTGCCGCAATGTACCCCTCTACTCCTACCCCTTCGGGGATAAAATGCCTGAAGTTATGTTATGTCAATATTACTATGATTGCAAGACTTACTTCTTGGTCCTGTCAGCATGCATGCGTTGTATGTGTCGCTTGAGCATCGCCCGCGTCACGCACACCCGCTCACAGTGGGGACACGTCTCCTCTGCCACGCTGTGAAGTGAATATATTTTAACAATGGTCTTTCAACTTTAACTTTGTATTATAAAGCTGAAATTGTATTGAAGCGTTGTCTGTATATTATGAATTATTTGCATATCTCGCCCAATTAAGTGAGCGAGTTTAAGGGCTCGTGTGACGATGCCGTGTCCGTGCCGCTGCCGTCGCGCCGCCGAACATACAGCGAACGTATACACAGCATCGCGGCCCGGCGGCGGGCCGACAGCGGCGCGGGGTGGCAATCATATACACAGCTTTACGTAGTCGTCTACACGAGCCCTAAGAACCAATTAAGAAAATAAGTAAGCAGCATCACACTGTATCCCCTGATGAAACAGTCTGAGCAAACATTTAACGTTACACCCACTTTCGTCACTTATAAATCCCATCAAATCCCAGGGTGCGATCTGGTGTCAGACACAATAATACATTACCAGACCGCGGAATGCAACCCATGAGGAAGACTTCTAACTCGGCAGCTGCAATTTTTAACAAACAATCTCTGGGAAAATATGAAATATATATTTCAAAAACTCACCCTTCATATTTTTCATTGTGTTCCTTCAAATAATGTTCACCCAGCGTGATCCTGTTCTTACACTTCACGAAACATATTCGACAGTAAGAGTTATGGTCGTGTGTCAATAGATGGCGTTTTAAGCTCGATTTAGTTTTGTAGTCGCGCGAACAGATGGTGCACGTGGCAGGTAACTTCACCGTCTTCGCTTTTACTTCCTCGTTGTGCGTCCTATATTGATTGCAATAGAAATTATTTTTCTGTCGATTCGTGATTAGTTGGACTTAATAAATGGGTATAAGGGACACTGTGTCAGCCATGTTGCTGGGCGCTAATCTTGTCATTACACACGTTTTCTCCATTTTTCGCCAAATTATGCATAATTTCGAAATTATTAATTAAGCCCAGACATAAAACTTGAGTTCTTAACAGAGACCACGCGATTAGGAAATAAATTTTCCGAGGGATAATGTATAAAGAAATATGAGCAAGTACCCTGACAAATTTGATAGATATAGGCAGGATAAGGCATTTGAATTTGGTTTTTGAATTTTATTTATCTATTTACTATGCATCACATTCATTTAATAAAAATAAAAAATTTTAGATCCCTCAGCGGTCTCCACAAATACTCTAACAGAACTCCGCTGAAACAGGACAAGAACCAATTAGACGCATCAAAGATAATGGAAACATTTTGATATTATATTTTATATTCATCATCGTTGCTTAAAAACCCAAGTGTTATTACAAAATGGCCGTTAAAATAGAAATTGGCGCCATCTATGACAGAATTTTATCGTTTAGAAGTGTCAAAACCTATTGACATAAAAATATCGTCGAGTTGTTTTATGTGGTCACCACGGAATTCACTGAAACAGATTATAAACAAAATAGTTATGCATCAAACAAACAAAATGTATGTTTCCCAAATCATAATGTTAATGTTCGTAACATTTGACTTACCTTAACAGTTTGACTGCCGACAGAAAACTGTTGAAGGTAAATCCTCCGCTATACTGGCCCATACCTTGCCCCCATGGCGTTCAAGGTGTTAAAGTTAAAAAACAAGTTAGTCACCAAGTCACAATAAGAGAAACACAATTATCACCAAATTGGTGATTTCCCGCATCTAAACAATATGCTGAGCTGAGATTTTAAATTAAATTAACAATCACAACTCTGCATTCCACTCACTTTTACCGTATTTACACATCGATTTTTTCCATTTTTAGGGCCATACATGACCATAAAAATTAATAAAGAAATTTTTGTTTACAATTTAAATTACTTCAGAGCAAAACAACTGATTTCTCAGTATCTGCTGCTGCATCATCAAGTTACGAACAAAATGAGAATTTGTTTATTGGCATTAAATAGATAATACATATTTTAATAAATATCGAGATTAATATTTAAAACCAGTCGACAAGTGTCCAAACGTGGGTGGTATTTTTTTATATATATATATCATGTAATTTTTTATATATATAAAAAATGACATGAATAATTGTACTGATTGTAAAAATAATATTGTAGAGGATTAGTAACACTATCCACATATATAATGCATGCGACGAATTCTACACAGGCACAGGCATAGTATTGTAAGACTACCTAGAATATTTACTAATAGTTAACTACATAACTAACAAGCTTAGATTAAGTATATGTGAACAAAATGCAAACACATTTGTTTGTTTGTTTACATATTACTTCAGAAGTACCCACACTCGAACTGGTTTTACACAGTCTTCAACTCCACTCAAATCACTGAAACAGGATCAGAAAAGATTAAAAGTATCCTACCGAACCTACCGAATAACAAAATTAAGTGACAAAATACTGATATTTTTTTACAAAAAATAAGAGGAAACCACTGTTTTGTCACTAAACACACATTTATATATACGTATATAATATATAAATGTTTCAAAAAATAAATAATATGTATATATATAAGTTTCACGGTTAAAGTAATCGAAACAAGACTGTCTTCGGCACTGATTGGTTGCTTTATTGTCGCCGGCCAATCAGAGCGCCGAACGCATACTCGTTTCGAATACTTTAAACGTGAAACAAACTTGTACCTTTGTATTGTCTCATGTTCATGAGCCGTGCCACTCTTTGTCACTCGAATATTTCACGTGTAAGCCGTATATTAGTTATTGCAGTCAACCAAGCTAATAAGGTTAGAAAATGAAAATTGATTCAGTATAAAGCAACCATTGGTTGACTACTGCTAGCCTATTCCATAACTTTCAATTTTACAGATTGAAGTGAGCTCGATCGCAATCCGCCATATCATTGTTTATGGTGACAATCTCGATCAATGACGGGCGAGAATGCCATCGAACTCAGTTCGAATTGACAGTTACAGAATACCATAGCTGAGCCGGAGAATAATTTGACAAGATATGACTACGTTAAAAACGTACAATTTAGTAGCAATAGCTACTATGTGTGTAGTGAAACAACCTTTATTTTCTCACCTGAGGCCTTAGTACAAGTTGGATTCACGTTTAAAGTATTCGAAACCAGTACGCGTTCGCCACTCTGATTGGCACCAATGAACCAACCAATCAGAGCGCCGAACGCTTCCTCGTTACGATTACTTCAAACGTGAATCAAACTCGTATACTAGACCTCTGTATTCTAAATATCTTGGCTGACTACATCCCCGACCGGACCAGAAACCGGAAATACATAGAAAAAAAAAATTCAACGCAGGCATAAAACCTTTCTCAACGTCATCAGGGGCCTCAGCCTGCATTTACAATACATAGTTGCAAAATTTTATAACATTGATTACATAATCATTGTAATCTCATCTCCCTGAGATACGAAAAAAATATGAAATCAATGTTATGAACCCTTGCACCTCAGCTTCAAGCCTTTCTTTCTTGAAGTCGTTTAATTCAAACCTTACCAAACAATTATTTGAAAACCGTGTCATAATCTATAAAACTTTGACCTATATGGTGTATAAAAAAAAAGTATTGAAGTCCCTTGACTAAGACCCCTGTATTAATATTAATAAATACATTAACTCACGTGAAAATATTGAGCAAAACCTCTACTAGTTTCGAGCCACATAGGGGCTCTTTCTCATGAGCAACATATCTAAACTCGAAACTAGTAGAGCTTTTCTCAGTATATTCAAGCGAGTAACCCTCGAAAAAAAATTAATATATATATATAAGTTTCACGTTAAAAGTATTCGAAACGAGACTGTCTTCGGCACTGATTGGTTGCTTTATTGTCGCCGGCCAATCAGAGCGCCGAACGCATACTCGTTTCGAATACTTTAAACGTGAAACAAACTTGTACCTTTGTATTGTCTCATGTTCATGAGCCGTGCCACTCTCTGTCACTCGAATATTTCACGTGTAAGCCGTATATTAGTTAGTGTAGTCAACCAACCTAATAAGGTTAGAAAATAAAAATTGATTCAGTATAAAGCAACCATTGGTTGACTACTGCTAGCCTATTCCATAACTTTCAATTTTACAGATTGAAGTAAGCTCGATCGCAATCCGCCATATCATTGTTTATGGTAACAATCTCGATCAATGACGGGCGAGACTGCCATCGAACTCAGTTCGAATTGACAGCTACAGAATACCATAGCTGAGCCGGAGAATAATTTGACAAGATATGACTACGTTAAAAACGTACAATTTAGTAGCAATAGCTAGGTACTATGTGTGTAGTGAAACAACCTTTATTTTCTCACCTGAGGCCTTAGTACAAGTTTGATTCACGTTTAAAGTATTCGAAACGAGTACGCGTTCGCCACTCTGATTGGCACCAATGAACCAACCAATCAGAGCGCCGAACGCTTCCTCGTTACGATTATTTCAAACGTGAATCAAACTCGTATACTAGACCTCTGTATTCTAAATATCTTGGCTGACTACATCCCCGACAGTCATAATACAGAAACCGGAAATACATAGAAAAAAAATTCAACGCAGGCATAAAACCTTTCTCAACGTCATCAGGGGCCTCAGCCTGCTTTTACAAAACATAGTTGCAAATAAAAAAATAATAATATATATATATATATAAGTTTCACGTTTAAAGTAAACAAAACGAGACTGTCTTCGGCACTGATTGGTTGCTTTATTGTCGCCGGCCAATCAGAGCGCCGAACGCATACTCGTTTCGAATACTTTAAACATGAAACAAACTTGTACCTTCGTATTGTCTCATGTTCATGAGCCGTGCCACTCTTTGTCACTCGATAGTTAGTGCAGTCAACCAAGCTAATAAGGTTAGAAAATAAAAATTGATTCAGTATAAAGCAACCATTGGTTGACTACTGCTAGACTATTCCATAACTTTCAATTTTACAGATTGAAGTGAGCTCGATCGCAATCCGCCATATCATTGTTTATGATAACAATCTCGATCGATGACGGGCGAGAATGCCATCGAGCTCAGTTCGAATTGACAGTTACAGAATACCATAGCTGAGCCGGAGAATAATTTGACAAGATATGACTACGTTAAAAACGTACAATTTAGTAGCAATAGCTACTATTTGTGTAGTGAAAAAACCTTTATTTTCTCACCTGAGGCCTTAGTACAAGTTTGATTCACGTTTAAAGTATTCGAAACCAGTACGCGTTCGCCACTCTGATCGGCACCAATGAACCAACCAATCAGAGCGCCGAACGCTTCCTCGTTACGATTATTTCAAACGTGAATCAAACTCGTATACTAGACCTCTGTATTCTAAATATCTTGGCTGACTGCATCCCCGACAGTCATAATACAGAAACCGGAAATACATAAAAAAAAATTCAACGCAGGCATAAAACCTTTCTCAACGTCATCAGGGGCCTCAGCCTGCTTTTACAATACATAGTTGCAAAATTTTATAACATTGATTACATAATCATTGTAATCAGGGAGATACGAAAAAAATATGAAATCAATGTTATGAACTCTTGCACCTCAGCTTCAAGCCTTTCTTTCTTGAAGTCGGTTAATTAAAACATTACCAAACAATTATTTGAAAACTGTGTCATAATCGATAAAACTTTGACTAAGACCCCTGTATAAATATTAATAAATACATTAACTCACGTGAAAATATTGAGCAAAACCTCTACTAGTTTCGAGCCACATAGGGGCTCTTCCTCATGAGCAGCATGCCCGGTCGGCGCAGAGCCTACTCTAAACTCGAAACTAGTAGAGCTTTTCTCAGTATATCCAAGCGAGTAACCCTCGATATTTAGTTAATCGAGTTTCTCAGAATGTGTGTTACAAAAAACATCCCATCATATTCTCAACATATCTTGGATGCTTCATGCATATCGTATTGTAAACCTAGATACCAATAAATAGTTAATTAATAAGCTTAGATTAAGTATATGTGAACAAAATTGAAATAATAATACTAGTATTGTATTTGTATATGAATTCCAATGGTGGCCATTGATTTGTTTTTCAAGGAGGATCGCATATGTAAATGTAACGTCACTTCATCTAATAATTCATGGCCCACACAGAGCCATAAGAGAGAAATACTATAATATAGCAAATATTATTTGCTAACGACCGAAATTTATGACCGATCATAATGTAGAATCTTTGGATTTAGACAGACATAGATACATAACCTCACGCCAGACTGCCATGGGGTAGGCAGAGACTATATATGTATTTATTTTTGATAGAAACTTCATTTTCAACTAATTTTGAAGATTTTGTGCTGAGGTCGGTTATAAATTTCGGCCGTCTGTGAAAACCTTCCACACCTGATGTGAGACCTGTACCAGCCGCGCTCGTGGAACACTCGGAGGCAGACAGCGCACTCCAGGCGATGTGGCTTCGTGTGGTACTGCTCCACGTGTCTCTTCAGGTATTGGGGCCGTCTGCAGTAACCAAACATCAATGTTTCATCGAGTACACCAATACACTTTGACCAAAAACAAATGCATATACACTTCCGGACACATCTATTGGCCCACCTTAGAGTTTAGGTTTCCATGGCCCCTACCGAAATATGATTGTTAGATTCTTCGATCAACAATAACAACTCGGCGGTCGGCGCAAGAAAACCGTCTCGACAAATAAGGGCTCACTTGAGAAGTGAGCTCTTATTTTGTTTAGTAGGTATGCTCCAAACACGGCCAACGTACTCACGTCTCACGATGCCGCAATGCATAATTGCAAGTTGCAAAAATAATAACCGAAAAAGCATTATAACGGCCGGAGTGTCTTACTTTTGATAAGTACATAAAATATAAGTTATATTTTAAGCTTTTAAACTAGTAAATAATATCAAATTAGTCAAAATTATAAACCAACGCCACCAATGTTTGTGCGTGTGTTGGCGATCCCTTGGCCAAATCTCGCCAACACGCGCACAAACATTTGTTTAAACAGAACAGTGGATGCATTCAGTCCATTTGTATTGAAAAATAAAATTGTATTGTAACCTGATTGGAAATGAGTATCTAACCTATGGAGTTTATTGCTCGTTCTTCTCCATAGGAATCTACACTTTGGAATGAGCAATTAGCTTCACTTTTAAATTTATATTGTTGACGTTCAAAAGTGCCTTCCTGGTCTAACTGAAATATATGATTTTGACTTAGACTTTTAATGATAAAGTAAATAAACATATCATACACAAAAACGTACCGCTAATAGAAATAAGTGATGTAAGTATAGGTACTTACTAAGATCCCGAAATCTTAATTTTCATATTATAAAATTATTTTAGTGACCAACGCGATTCCATACATACCTCCTGTAGCAAAATTCGAAATTTGAAGAAGCAAAACGTAACAAAACAAAACGATATAGGTAGATCGCAAGACAATAATGGAAAAATTATCTTTATTTGTTCAAAGTTAAGGTTGAATTCAAACTAAATATTGTATAACTTATGTCTTTTAATTTCTACATGACAGGAGTAAGAAAATACTTTTCTCGTCTTATGTGACGAATGGTCGTAAGTATTAGATAATATTTTGACGATTTATGACTATACTATTAGGTGCCATGGTTGTTATTAGGTTGAACTTAAAACTATTTTAAAACATTTTCCTCCGTTTGTTACATTTTTACTATTATTATTCACACGGACAGAACTGGAGCTTGATTTTGTACATAAACCTTTATCTAGTTGCTATTGTTGATCGAAGGCTAGATTGAACAAAAACTGTTGATGCAGTTTTAAACCTGATACATTTTACCATCTTTTTCGATCGTATTTTTTTAAATTTGAATTCATAATACCATACGACATGGAGCTACGCCTAACAAATCGGATATGCGCCTTGTTAAAGGCAATTGATTTTTGATAAAAAAAACATGTTTTATCAAATAAAGGTTTAATTTAATAACCGGTGTTGCCTCCATGAGCATCTACCACAGCTCTCATACGATTAGGCATAGAGTTTATCAACCGCTCTATGAATTTTTGAGGGATCATCTTCCATTCCTCTTCTATGGCAGTTTTCAACTCCTGCATCGTCTGGGCAACTGGCTGACGAGCCCTAACACGTCTTTTTAGCTCATCCCACATGTGCTCAATGGAGTTCATGTCTGGGCTTCTGGCTGAGCAGTCCATAACTGTGATGTTCACATCCCGAAGATATTTCCTGACGATGGCGGCCGCATGGGCTCTTGCAATATCAAGTATAAAAAGGAAATTTGGGCCCACATAGGCCGCGTAGTCCGCGTATGGTATCACGTGAGGTTCTAAGCCCTCACGATGTACCTTTCAGCATTTAATGTTGGCAGCTGTGGTCCTGTAACAACCTCAAGTTGAGTTTTGCCGCTCGCAGATATACCACCCCTGACAGTCCATAAGCTACCGCCATAAGCAACCCTCTCTTCAAAGCAGCATTGTGCGAAACGCTCTCTCTTACGTCGGTAGACCTTCTTCCTTCCATCATTGCCATTTTACACTCATCAGAAAAGAGTACACGGCTCCAATCTTGCTGTGTCCAATTTAAATGACTGCGTGCGAAATGAAGGCGCGCTGTTCGGTGGGCTCGCGTTAGTTTGAACCTATTAGCTGGCTTGTGTGGTACCATACCGCGTTCTTTTAACCTTCTTCGAACAGTTCGAGCGCTCACAGATACTCCGTGGAAGTCGCCAAGTTGGTTTTGTATCTCAATGGAGGGAAGGTGACGATTTCTCAAGCTGGTCGTCACGATGAATCGATCCTGCCTTTCAGTTGTGACCCAAGATCGTGACTTTCCTTGGCGACGAACAAAGCCGACAGTCCGTAGGTACCTCCGATAAACATTTCGGACCGGTAATTGACTTAAATTAAGTTGAGCACTCACGTTTCTTTGGCTGTGTCCGGCCTGAATAAGTGCCACAGCTTGGGCGGCGATTTCAGATGAAGTATCCATAGATTATTGATAGAACCGAACCTTAATGTTAAGAATAAGTAATTTTTGTTGCAAAACCAAAGATATCAATCACCTTTTCAAGAATTAAATCCAAGAAAACCAATAAAACCAAGTTTTCTTAGTATTCGATTGTTTGATATCAACAAACAGGCTCCAAATTGTCTTTTGTTTCTTTTAATTCTGTGTTCGAAAATCAAAAAAAGACTATTGAATGAAATTGTGAATGTGCCAGGTTCAAAACTGCATAAAAACTATTTGCTCGACCTAATATAAAATTTTAGCTAGGACCAAACGAAACTGAAAATACAAGTTGGGCCAATAGATGTGTCAAGAAGTGTATATAACATCAAAGTCAAAGCATTTATTTCAATTAAACCATAATTTGGTACTTTTGAAACGTCAACAAATACAAACTAAATAATAGTCTCTCAGTCAGTCCTTCAGTGAAGCTAGGTGAAGCTAGATGCTTATTCCAATTCATCACGCCTTTTAACTCCGAAGGGGTAGGCAGAGGTGCACACAGAAGTAACACCCACTTTTCACTATTTTTGTTATGAGTCCCATGTAATAGGGTCTATGGCCATACACCGGGCACATTTCCAGACTCCGTGCTACTACTGAGATTTTTTTAAAAACCCAGTATTACTTTGCGCGACCCGGGAATCGAACCCGAGACCCGAGGCCCGGCAGTCGCACTTGCGACCGGCCACTTGGCCGAGTGCCACCGAGGCAGGCAATTTCTTAAAATTATTTATGTTGTAAAATGTCAATAATAATGATGAAGCAAAGAGTAATATTTCATCATCAGCAATATTCTGACTATGGGCCTCCTTTATGATAGTTTGGCAGGCAACAGATTGCAGTTTCAAATGTTCCGGTTTATCAGAGAGCGCTGCTGTACACTTGTACACTCTTCATGTGGACTCTTATGAACACCAGCAGAAAGTATTAAATTAAAAACATACCTATAGAAGTGAAATATTATCAAAAAAAAAACAATACTAACTTGAATCCCCTCCCGCAACGATCACATTCAAAAGTCTGTCCGATGTGGTCGTTCATGACGTGGCAGGCTGCGGTGTCCTTGTCCTTGAACCGCATCCGGCAGAGCAGGCACCGGTACCGGCGGTAGTGCCGCAGCCGGTGCCGGTACAACATGTCTGCCGTCTTCAGCCGGGAGTGGCAGATCACGCATTCGTGTTCACCCGATTCCTATATTATTTTGAAATGATTAGAAAACGTCAAGTAAAGCTTGATTTTCTTGAAACCCACACATTCTAAGAAAGAAAACATGATTAGTATATTAAGCACAATAACAATTAAGCCTTCGCAATGCACACAAAAACAGATGGACATAACAAGTACACATTTTAATTAAACAACCTTTCTTCAAGAATAAAATACCTTATTAAAAAAATAATTACCTTTTTTATGGGTATTGGTACGCGCTTGGCCGCTATCTCACGCGGTGGTTACCTCATATACTTACTGGAGCATGCACCTTCATATGATCATCATAAGCCTGTTTCAGCACGAAGCCGACGGCACAATTCTCGCAGACGTGACGCATGTGCTGACGAGACTTCAGCGTCTCCAAGTACTCCTGGTGACGCTCCTCATCATCAATGGTCACTATCTCTATGTTCTTCGTGATCTCGTAGGAGTACATCAGGGGGGTCTCCACTGCGGAAGAACAAGTTCGTGAATCTGCCTGAACCTTTGTAATTTTTTGGAAGGTCTAACTGCAGCGTAGTTAGTAATGGAATACTCTATTGACCAGCAATAGATTTGTTCATGGTCCTAATAGCATAACTTTTGAACAGGGTATAAGGTATACCGTAACTTACTATACGTATTCAGGGCCGTCTTAGACTATGCTTCGGCACACTGGGCATACAATAATTCGGAGCCCTTTTGGAATGTTACTTTACTTTTAACGTTGCACCACACTTGAATTTTCTCCTGTGTCGTCAAAGCCCAAAGGACCAGTAAGCTGAAGTGGCAGTGGGCCGGTCACATTTGTCGAAGAACCGATAACCGTTGGGGGTAAACGTGTTCTAGAGTGGAGACCGCGTCTAGGCAAACGCAGTGTAGGGCGCCCTCCAGCTAGGTGGAGTGACGACATCCGCAAGGTGGCCGGCAGTGGTTGGATGAGAAGAGCTGAAGACCGAGCTTAGTGGCGTGCCATTGGAGAGGCACATGTCCAGCAGTGGATGAATACGGGCTGATGATGATGATCGTGATGCATTTAAAAACATACAAGTTCATATACGCATGTTACCCAGATCCGAAACAACAATTTGTGGACCACACATAGATTTTCTCCGTGCGGGAATCGAACCCAGAATCGAGTGTGTGTTCGTCGTAGATTTTGTCGGTCCTTCGGAGTCCCCGGGGCACGGGCTATGATATGATTATGTTACTCACTCTTAGCTTGAATATTTTCAGCTGGCTTCTCATTTTGTTCAGCGCCATCCTGAAAAAAAACCAATTTCAAACTAAAACCACGATAGTCCCGAAAACTTAGTGAAAGGAACACATTAATTAATCATTTAGTATTGAAGTATCCATATAGACTTTGACATATAGAAAAAGGGGATTGCTACTCTTCCATCCCATCCTAGTAACCCTCTTAAATCCGTTCAATCTTTTGATCCACCTTTTACACCCCCTTGCCCCAGTACCACCCAGGTCGTCATTTCATCCACTCTATTGTGCCACTATACCACCTTTCACCCCTATCACCCATCCCTCTCCCCCTGCAACACCCCTACCCTCCATTCATACACCCTCCCCCTGGAACACCCCTACCATCTACCCACGTGTCTCTTACCCTGCACCAAATTCTAATTATACGCGTGTGCTAACGTAACTATTTATTATTATTTTAATGTGACATTGTTTTTCATTTATTTTATTTTTTTTTATTTTTTTTTTTTAAAAAAACGTTGCCCCACACTAGAATTATCTCCTGTGTCGTGGGTGCGTTTACAAACATACAAGTTCACATACACAATGACACCCAGACCCGAAACAACAATCAGTGGATCACACAAAGTGTTGTTCCGTGCGGGAATCGAACCCGCGACACGTTGCACGGCAGCCGGTTGCCCAGCCACCGCACCAACCGTGCAGTCAAATAAATAAAATTTGAAAATTTTTATTTTTTCTTCTACCTTGATATTTACTTTTTTTTACAATTGTTGCTGCTAGGACCGTACGAGACTTTGCCTCACCATTTCTCTTCTAATTACCCACATTCTGACAGTTTGAGTATTTGAGCGACCCACGCAAATGTTCTTTAGGTTGGTATTGTTCGTCGAATCAGTCAGCCTCACCTGTTAATTGAGCTGATTGTAAACCGACACATGCGTACTGCCTTCTGAACGGGTCCGCTCAAACTGTTGTGGTTCTTTCCTCAAAAGAGCACTACAGAGAGAACTTGCACGGTTCTCACACATAAACTTTTGTACACATTTGTCTGGTATTTAAAAGAGACGGACCTCTGAGTTTGTTTCGGCATTTCTTCTCAGAGTAGTCAGTTAGGAAATGTCGGCCTCATCGTTCGCTTGATAAAATTGACGTGTAAAAGTGCTGCCTTGTAGCCTATTTGCAGAAATAAATTCACTTGTTTCACTAACTATTTAAAAACTTAACTTGATGATAAGTGACTTGCACTTGCACTACCACATTAGATTCAGTTAGGATCGAAATAATAAATCTTGTTCACACTGTCATATCTCACTATTGTCCCAAATACATATGACTACCTTGTTGGCCGAGTGATCGCAAGTGTGGCCGGGCAAGAGGTCTCGGGTGCGATTTAAAAAAAAATGCTTAGTTCTAGCACAGAGTCTGGAATTGTGTCCGCTTTATGGCAATAGGCTCACCCCCTACTACATGGGACTCATAACATAAATAGTGAAAAGTGGGTGTTACATTGTACAGTGGCATTAAGTGCCGTAATGTGCACCTCTGCCTACCTCTTCAGGGATAAAAAAGGCCTTATGTGATGTCCCAAATATGCTCAGCTTTAACGCAGTTCCATTTACATAGAATCTACCATCTAGACACGGTAAAAAGAGTAAAAAGAAACTCACCGATTTGTCTTCTTCTTTGACGGAACAGCCATCTTCTTGCTTCACTGTCTTCTCTAGCCTCTTCTTGAGAGGCAGCTTCGATATCCCATCCTTATTTTCTTTTTCTGGAAATATCGATAGCATTATTTAACCGCATAATTGCACGTGACTGGATATTTTAGCTACCAGGTCGAGCTTTCCTTTTATATCGCCACGCGCATTTCTTATCTATCCCTATTTTTCGCCGCAAAATACTAAAAACCGTCATCGTTAAAATCTGCCACGAAAACCGAATTGATACGAACGACATTCTGTTAAAATTCTATCCCGCGGAAATTAGGAAAAATGAGGATAACAAAAAATAGTGCACAAAATCTACGTGCACTCGCGGCGAAACATGAGACTCGAATGGATGCAGGGCCGCCCCTGCACTTGTTTTATACCCGACGCATAGGGCTGGGTACCGCAGCATCCCGCGCAGGTCTGTTAGGTCCCAAATATAAGTACTAAATATCTAGAACACCCGCATTTCGATCAATACAGGGCGGAAATATGCTCTGCGCAGGTTAAAGACAAAGGATGCACGCATGATGGGAGGGCCCAATTTATCTGCAGTATTGTGGTTACGTAATATGGAAGGTTCCAGAATTAAGCGCTGTGATAAATACTTATAATTTTCTAGTATGATAAAAGTTGAATTTAATGATAACTGCTGTTATTAAGGGAAATGTTAAATTGATCATCCAAAAGATGCCCACTACCAAACAGGGGCCTCTTTATTAGGAGTGCAATGAACTGCAATGTGTGTGTCACGTACGCAATACAAACGAAAGGATAGGCCATTTACCATAAGCCATACAATTCGCCGGCAAATTATTTGGGCATTGTTGGATGGAAAAATGAAACAGATCACACTAACTCGCAAGAACTAAACTAAAAAAAAATCGATACCTTTCCGTGATTGCCTACTACAAACCGACCCAAGTATATCATTATCGTATTTTAATATCCCACAAGTCGAACTAAGTCACTACAAATATAAAAATAGTCTACGTCAGTACCCTGCTGGTAACAAAAAGTGACTGCCACAGTCACTCAATGAGACATTTCTCAATGGCAAACAAGGCTTGGCTAGGTGCCAAGATCCACCCCTCGTTCGCGCTACCAACCATGGCTGAGAAAAATGGCAGTGTAAGTAGCGAGGACATAACGTTTATGGAATCCCCTCATTAACCGAGTCGATGCAAGTATTACGGACGTAGGGTATTAGGAGCGTAGTTCGAACCCCCGTATGCAACAAGCCTAACCATCCATAGGGCATTGGAGTTCAAAATTCTAAATTATATTGAATATATTCTAGTATGCCTGTGTCCAATTGCTCTAAGAACACCAGGCGCAGTTCCTTTCCTAAAAATATTATGGAATTTTAACCAGTGTTAGTCCGATTTTGAGAAAATTTTATAAATACTACACAATACTCTAAAAGTCCCATTAAATGTCAACCGATCGATGGGACTACTGCAGCGTTCCGCGCAGGTGCAAAATGTAACAGGTCCCGGGGGGGGGGTTGGTGGCGACCCACCTCCGCTCCTTAACTTCCCGTGGGAGAGGTGCAAATAACATGTTTTGAGAGGCATGGTGACCACACTTAACTTCTGAAATAGGTTTTTACGGATAAAAACTATCAAGACGATTAGAGTGATAATATAACAGTACAATACGACAAACAAGGGTAGTCTTAGACGTACTCGTAATCTTTTCCTGATATCCTGAAAATGGGGAAACTGAGTATGTGCCTGCATTTGCACACAAACTTGTACACTATAAGACATGTTTTCTTGATTAGTCACAAAGTGTGGGAGAGCCATGCTTCGGTAAAATTCGGAACGAATAGGCCGGCTCGACCGGAGTGATATCACAGCCTCACAGAAAACCGACGTGAAACAACGCTTGCATTGTGTATCGTCGAGTGAAGTTACCGGAAGCCCGATAATTTTGAGTGGTGGAAACACTATTTATATTGAAGTTATAGGAGATTTTCCTAGCAAATATCAAGGCATCCTATTCTGCTAGCCGCACCCTATGCACCACCGTCGATTGGGGGATGAGGTAGGATCTCCCTACACCTCCCCTTCTGCGATTCCTCTATGTACTCGTATGAAGGAGCTTGGAGATTTTCAATAATAACTGATTTAAGTCATCACTAATAACTTCATTATAAACAGATGGATGTCCTTTTGTTATTTTTGATGGATGATCTTTTGTTATTGTGTGTGTGTGTTTGTGTGTGTAAAACATCAAACATCAGTCAAGTCAGCATCAACACCATCAAAAGTCATTTTACACGTTACATGATTCTTGTGTAAAGTATTCTAATCTACTTAGTACCTATTATTTTAAACACTGACCTATCCAGGAATTGAACTCACTAACTACCTTTATTCTTATAACATTTACGGTGAACAAACAATAGATAGTTTTTCTTAAATCTCCTTTGTCCAAATAAAGTTCACTGCCGCTTGAAACATCCCTTCAAGCCCATTGCCTCTTCGCGACAATGTAATGTAAGTAAGTACCAACGTAACAAGATCCCGGTGTAATTAATTAAGTCTATGAATTAATTAAAACGCGAGGGTGAGACGGCACCGGTGCGTGAACGGCACCGCGCATGTAGATTATTGTACACCGTACCCCGCACAGGTGTGTGGCCGCGAGTGGCAATGAACGGAACGTGCTACCGTTTAACGATTTCCGAACGAATAAATTTCTTTCACTTGGATTTTTGACATTGGACATTGACAGTTAAATTGTTTGCCAGCAAACGTCACAACAATCCATGAAACACGAAAACTAAACAGTTTATTATCGTGTTTGTTTCATATTTCATTGTACAGGTATGTAAAGAATCGAGTAATTGTAAAATTCAGTGCGTTTTGCAAGACCTACGCCCACCGCTTGAGATTAAATCACAAGAGAAACGTAAGCAGCGATCGCTCCAAAATACAGTTATTTCTTAACACCCCGTTCAAACTATAAAGTGTTTTAAACTTACAATTATTTGATTGTGTTCAAACTAAAGCAAAACATCTTAGAAACCATTAATTTTAAACTAATTACCTCAATGCAGAGGTTATAATGTCGCACTATAGTAAATACGTATCCAGATGGATGGAACATGACGGTCCTATGTTATTTAAACACTAACTAGTATCTTAAATACTAAAAGGTTTCTTCATTTTACTTAAAGTCATGTCAGAACTGTCTTACTAACATTCTAGAACATCTGAACTAAGAAAATAACATTTAAAAGGTCGGCTACATGCACATTTTTAAGACTGGTGTTGTTTGTGTTCATGAGCGGCGTTGATCCTATAATCTATGAACTCCACTTTCACTTGTTCCAGATTCGATGAAATTAGTTTAAAAAAATATGGCACTCTCATATTTCTATATAAGAGCATCTCTCCTAGAAGAAGAGGATGACGATTGTGAACGTGCCCGCAAACGTCGTAAGTTGAGGGAAAAGTTCAATCCCGCCAAAATCCCTGACAAGGAGTTTTTATACAAATATAGAGTGACTCGGGAACTGTATGAAGTATTATGTGATGAATTAATACCATTGTTGCGTCCTAAGAAGAGTTGCACAGGTTTGGACCCTAAGTTAAAGGTAAACACTGTATTTATACCATTTTTTAAAGAAGTAGTTTAAGAATTATTTTATTAGTTTCATTGTCATACACCAGGAATTGGAATCCAGACTATGCTGTAACTGAGAATTTTCAATAACTTAAAGGATAATGAAGGTAAATGTAGGGCACAATAAATTGATTTTATTTAAAATATCTACAAAAAAAATATAGACATCTCTAAGGAGGTTAATTTCAGTCATGTTTTTTATTTAAATTAAAAACACACTTGCTTATTTTTATGTCACATATAGTACCTACCATATTTTGTAGTCATATACATACTATTTAATAAATATTCATACAATTAAAATATTAGTTGACCCATTGTTCGACAGTTGTTAGACTAGTGTTGGAAAAATCTGCAGAATACTTGAAATTGATGCTCTATTTTTAGATTCTAGCGGCTTTAAATTACTATGCCTGGGGCCATTTGCGTGGAGTCACAAATAGACGCTGCAGGATGTTGCTCTCTAAACAATCCAGGACTCGATGTACAGGTGAAGTGACACGGGCTCTGAATGATCCTAGCATTTTAGAGAAATTCATACAGTTCCCAGAGACTCAGGAGGACAGAGAAATGAATAAACAGAAGTGAGTATTTCATACCTCTATTATGACTTTCCAAGAGAATAAGTATGGTTACAATAAATCTGGCTTTAAAATTCTGTCTATGTAATGTAATGTCTGGAGACTGATGAATATAATAAGACAAAAATTTGACATTCTTAACATTTTATGTTTTCTCCTTATATAATTTTCCTCAAAATTCCTGAATTTATTTGCAAAAACAGATGATTAATATTATAAAAATTGTGTTCACAGATATTACGAGAAGTTTGGATTCCCGAACGTGTTAGGCTGTGTCGACTGTACCCACGTGCTTGTGCTCAAACCTCCGACAGACGACCACTACTTATACCTGAATAACAACAGCCATACGGTGTTTTCGCAAATTGTAAGTACCTTTATCAAATCAAAAAATTACCTTGTGTCATGCCAGTCTAGACCTAGACTAAAATCTATCTATATAAACGTTTTGACACATTGCAAGTTAGATTAGTTTAACAAAAACTGCTAATAACTTCACGTGTCACATCAATTTAATGTACAGTTATGTGTCGTGCCTCTTAGGGCAATTCTGCGAATTCATTCTTATAATAGATTTTCCTAGTTAAAATTATGATTAACTAAAAATTGGTTACTCACGTGACTATACTGAGAAAAGCTCTACTAGTTTCGAACTACAGAGGGGTTCTTCCTCATGAGCAGCGTGCGCGGTCGCGGCAATGTCGCGCAACCTACTGACAGGCTTTTCTCAGTATATTCAACGTGAGTAGTAGTTTAGTATGTCTCTCGATATTTATTATAAAAATTATTATTACTAGCTTGGTAATTCGGTGGTTTTAATTTCCGATGATATAATTTTAATTACCTAC